GATTTTTCTTTGGAGAATTGATTTCAACATGGTTTTGAATATTGTTAGGGTTGAGATCTATTTGTCTTTTAGGCATGTATTTAGTTTTTGGAGGCTGCCAAACATTATTCTGATACCAATTTGATGAATAAATGGATGTTCAAATTGAGTAATGCTGGGTTTTGTTCGAGAAAGGAAGTGCATGTGTTTGTGTTTATGTGTGTGTTATGGATATTGGAAAAGGTGTAGTATTGTATAATAGGAAAAGGGGAAAGGGGTTTGAAAATCGCCTTTAAAGGCAAATTTAAAAACAAATTCACAAATTGCATTGAGGAATGACAGCATCATCAAAATAGTCTCCCAAAGTAAATATGTTGGAAAAATGTAACACATCTGATCTAGAAATTATGTTTATTGAAAAATCAGACTCACTTGTTTGTGGTTGTATTTCAATTGGGAGCTCTAAACATTTTTATCATTCTCAACCAGGGCAATGGATGCCAAGTCTAACACATTATACTGTAGGGCCTAGATATGTTTTCAATAAAATTAGGTATGTTTCTAAACTACCATGAGAAAAAGAAACATCAAACTTCATGTAAAAACACACAGAGCAAACCATGTTCCAAAATATATCCATATAGTCAATATAGCTACAGATAATTTAATACCTTTTCTACCTTTTGTATAATTTTTTTAAAACTTGCACCGTTTAAATTATGGCACATTTCTAGTTAAAACATTTACAGTAAAACAGATAAATATGGAGTATAAATTAATTATGTGATTTGAGACTAATTTTTTTTAATTCTATAGTCATTGTCCATAAAGGTGCCAGAGAAATGTGACTCAGATTATAAATATCTTTTCACTTATTTTCCTGTACTTCTATTTCTAAGGCTTACAAGACTGCTTTTTTCCTATAGTACTTCCTGCGCCCATTCAGAATAAATAAGTATTCTTTTTAAAAAGTAAATGTTACATGTGAATATGCAAATTACCAAAATCATAAATAAATCATAAATTATTAACTTAATTAAATGTGATTTATGGAACTTTTATAAATGTACATTTACTATGTATTTAGTACTGCAATTTGAATATGAGGAATGAAAAGAAAATTAGAGGTGTAAAAAAGTGGTCTTAAAGTAAAAAAAAAATTTAAATTATTGACAAAGTGTTTATTTCCATCAATATATTATTTATATTATCAGTGTATATTTATTGGCCAAGTATATTGCCAATATATACTTACCGTGTTTCCCCGAAAATAAGACCTACTGACAGGTTTCCTTCTGAGTGAAATATAAGGCATCTCCCCAAAAATAAGGCCCCCTAGGCTAAACATGAGAGATTTGATCCACTGATTCTGAAAGAAATGGAGTCACAAGAAATTCACCAGGAAATTCAGGAATTGGATTGTTATGATGATGTTCCAGAACATGATGTCATTGAATAAATGAGTAAATTCTTGATACTGTAGGATTCAGTTTGTCTGGTTTGTGTTGACAACTACCGTACTACCGTACCATATACAGCTAATAAATTTCCTTTATTTTCATTTAACAATAAATGTGTACCATATTCTTCTTCATGGAAAAATAAGACATCCCCTGAAAATAAGACCTAGCACATCTTTGGGAGCAAAAATTAATATAAGACACTGTCTTATTTTCAGGGAAACAGGGTATTAACACAGTAATTATTTGTTCTCATCAATAAGTGGATAATCAGATCTCATTATGAGATAATGAAGTTCCATTAAAATTGAAAACTCCTAATTCTACCTGGCTGAATTTAGTATAAAAATGGGTTTATGCTGTGAGAAAGTAAAATTTAGTAGCTGGCAATTCCTGCTTCCCCATTACACCTCTAACACTGCATAGAAATGTCAGCCCCTATATCTGTTGGAAAACACCAAAGGCCCCTTAGTTATTTAACTGTAATAGCATCATAAGCCTAGAAAGTCTGGAACAGTTCCATGAGGGTTTAAAAAAATGAAATGTTGAATTCCATCGCTAGCAATATGGTAGATAAAACTCAATAAAAATTTTTACTTTTACCAATGAAAACATCTGGGAAAAAATAGTTTAAATATTTTTTAATGCATCTTTTATCTATCAAGGAAGCAGAAAATCATCAGGACACTAAAACAAAGTATAAGAGAGAGAAATAAGCCTTCAATCTAGCCTTCACCCTGAAAGCTTTCGCAAAATGCCGATGACCTTGAGATTTATTTTAAGAACTATGCGAGTATAGGAGACTACACTAGAGCCTAGGTTGGAAGACATGTAATAGGAGAAATCATTCTCCCTTATCCATACACAGCTGGAACCCAGGGTCATGGTGAATTTGAGGTAAATGGGCCAGCAGCTAAATCTGTGGGAGAGTATCTACTGAAAATGTGTAACTTCATGGTGATTTGTGTTCCAAAATCAGTGAAGAAAATCAAGCTGAAAATATGTCTAAAAGTGGTCCTGAATTATTAGCTTCTGAGTAGACAATAGAAGCAAACTCAGAGCCTACCTGGCAGAGCTCACATTCAACCTAAGGCTCCAACAATTCTCAAAGATAAAGTTCCAAGGAAGTGGTTACTATTGCAAAACAAACAAAAAATCACAATGTGAATAAGAAAACAGATTTCAAAATTTTGCATTACATGAAAATATAATATAAAAATTTTTTGGTAACTATAAAGAATTTGAGATTATAACAATTATGAGTACAAAATAAGTAACTATTTTTAAAATGAACATAAGTATTCTATTAAGGAACAAATTGAATTTCTAAAAATGAAGGATATGGTATCGTAATTGAAATAGAAAATTAGTAGCTAGATTAGGCAATAAAGTAATAAAAAAAAAGAATTGATGAACTAGTAAATAGGTCTAAAGAGATTACCTAGAATGTAGTACACACAGACAAAAATAGATAGTATGAAAACTAGGGGTAACAACATATGTGTCACTATCTAGTCGTAGTTCCAGGAAAAGAGAATAGGAAGAATGCGAAGAAATATTTGAAGAAATGAAGACAGAATTTTCCAGAATTGATGAAAACCAAAAGGAATCCATACCTAAACATAACATAATTAAAAACAGCCAAATAAAAATTTCCTAAAAGAACTGAAATTAAACTTAAAATGAAATTAACAGCAGCAAAAGCCAGAAAAACAAGTAATAATATTTTCAAGTAACTGAGAAACTCTCAACCTAGTATTGTATACCCAGAAAAATTAAATTTTAAAAAAGAGAATAAAGACAATTGTAGACAAATAAAACAGAATTGACTACCAACAGATCCTAGTGAGAAACATAGCATACTTTACTGCCAAGTGTTTCTATACCACTCAGCTCATTTGAAATGGTAAATAGAGAATCATGTCAGTGTAATATGAAATTTGCATTTTTCTGCATATTTTTTCCTGGCACATTAATATTTAACATCATAAAGAAATAGAAGTGAATTGAAAACAAACAAACAAAAAATCTGACATATGCTTTCTTACAATAAAAGATTAAGACCTTGCCCTAGCAGGTTTGGCTCAGTGGATAGAACATCAGCCTGCAGACTGAAGGGTCCTGATTCAATTCCAGTCAATTGCACATGTCCAGGTTGTGGTCTCGATCCCCAGTAGGAAAGCAGCGAATCAATGATTCTTTTTCATTGATGTTTCTATCTCTCTCTCCCTATCCTTTCCTCTCTGAAATCAATAAAAATGTATTTTTAAGTTGTTTTTTTTTTTTTTTTTAAGAGTAAAGTCTTGCTAAAAAGCTGAAATCTCTGTGGAAGTGCCTTCTTTTCAGGCAGTTATTAATAGTTGCTGGTTTAGGAACTACATAAGACCATTAACTTTCTACCTTACCCTACCTAATGAAACCAAATGTCAATGAAGAAGCTGACAGTACAGATGAGGAAGCTGCCAACACTTTTCACTCAATTAAAACATTTGATTGATGGAAAAGACTGCCAAGTTAGACGGAAGTCCTCTCTATTTAAAGCAAAGCCCTCAAGATTCTCCATCTTGAAATAGGAGGTGTGGTTCCAGGGTTATAGTGTGCAAAGAAGAGACTAAAGGAGAGAGAGAGAGAGACAAATGTCAGTGGAGATTTAACTGTGTTGGTACTTTTTTTAAAAGGATTTTTATTATTTTTGTTAGTGCTTTGGTCACAAGTTTTGAGATTAGAGTAGGTCTGGCCAACTTTGTTTTCCCATGAGCCTTTCTATTTTCAGTGTATAGTTTTGTAGAAAACAAGGTTTTCAAACAGGAAAAAGTATTTTACGTTCTAAGAAATACCTCTACTAAAGGGAATACTTCAAGCAACTATTGTCTCAGGTGAAAGGTGTAAGATGATGTAATGAATGATTATAAAAAAAAAAAAAAATAGGTAAGACCCAGCCAGTGTGGCTCAGTGGTTGAGCATTGACCTATGAACCAGAAGGTCATGATTCAATTCTCAGTCAGGACACATGCCTGGGTTGTGGGTTCAGTCTCCAATGGGGGTGGTGCAGGAATCAGCCAATCAATGATTCTTTCTCATCTTTGATGTTTGCATCTCTATTTCCCTCCCCCTTCCTCTCTGATATCAATGAAAATATATTTTAAAAAGTAGATAAGTATGTGGTAATTCTAAACAAACATTTGACTGTAGAAAAGAAACAATAATAATGTCTACTTCAAGGCAGAACTAAAATATTGGCGTGTGATTGATTGTTCAAATATTTCAGGTTCCTGTGAAGAAGGTAAAGATAGTGATTCTCTTTTTAATATTAACTACTGGGATACTTATGGTAAAACTAAAAGAAAAATAAGAAAATGGCAAAACAAACAAACAAACAAACAAAAAACACACACACACACACAAAACATTCAAAATAGTAGTTCTCCTGGCAGTGTGAGAGGAAATGGGGATGGGACTAGGAGCGGGGCACATAGGTGGATTCAAAGCCAGGGGTAACAATCTATTTCTTCAGGTGTTGGTAATTCCGATTGTTCATAGTACTTATGTTCTTAAACTTACACATGGTTATAAGCATTTGTATACATATTCAATGTTGTTTTTTTAAATTTAGGTTATATTTAAACCTGCATATAATAACTTATTAATAGAAACTCGTTTTCCTGGTTTATTTCAGTGACCATGGTTGTTCTCCTGTGGGCTGTAGTTTGGTCAATCACTGGCAGTGAATGTCTTCCCGGAGGAAACCTGTTTGGGATTATAATCCTTTTCTATTGTGCTGTCATTGGAGGTAAACTTTTTGGGCTCATCAAGTTACCGACGTTGCCTCCACTGCCTCCTCTTCTTGGTAAGTGCTAAACACTTCCTGTCTTCTTCCATGCAAATCCTGTTTTAAGAATAGTAGTTTTTCCAAAGTTTGGGAAATAAAAGAATAAACTATTTCTGCATTTTCTGTGCTTGAGCTACAAGTAAACACTGAAAATTAAATTTTGAAAAATTTGGTGAGCCCGTTGTGAAAAATTATGATTTCAAAAAATTAAATTATAAATACTTAGAGTTAAGTAATCTGCATTGAAAACAAGAGCAATAAATACTTAAAATTGATCCTAAATCTGATCCTAAATCTTTTTGCTATATTTCTCCTTATCGCTGCTCTTGAGATTGTGGAAATACTACACAACGGTGTGACACTGCTTGTTTCTTTCAACTCCACATTTAGTGATATCATATCATGTTCATAGCTTAACATGGGCCAGGATGGAAGTATTTATAAGACAGAAACCAGCATATGCTACAAATCACGACTTGATATCTTCTAAGTCACTCACATCTTTGACAAACAAGTGAGATTCCAACACATATTTTCTTCTTATTCATTTATGTAAATAAACAAAAATATCATCCAATATTTCTGGTGATTCTAGTACTCACTCATCAGTGATATGAGTGATTTATTTGCTAATTTATTTCAATAAGGATTTTCTTCTAACCTTGGGAGTATTTGAAATAAAAGTGGCCTTTTGTTGATAATTCTTGTATATTTAAAAAAAAAATTTCTATCATACAAATTAGGGGAGAGGGGGGAAAAATACACCTTGTCAAAGAAGGTATTCTTTCCTCTACAACCAAGGCAGATTTTCCTATATGCTGAGAGGCAAGAAGAGGACACCTGCCATATCACAAGCAGATGGCCACATCAACTCAGACCTTGGGCAAAGGAAACACAGTCCCAGGGAAATTGTTTTCATATTCATTTGGAGAATAAAAAGTCCTCCTTCCATTAGATTTTTTAAAAATATATTTTATTGATTTTTTTACAGAGAGGAAGGGAGAGAGATAGAGAGCTAGAAACGTCAATGAGAGAGAAACATTGACCAGCTGCCTCTTGCACACCCCCTGCTGGGGATGTGCCTGCAACCCAGGTACATGCCCTTGACCAGAATCGAACCTGGGACCTTTCAGTCCACAGACTGACGCTCCACTAATGAGCCAACCCGGCTTCGACCCATTAGATATTTTTGAGATTTCATAAGATTATTATTCTTTTTGATTTCAAGTAGTTATATGCTTTAATTATTATAGTAATGATTACCCTACCTGGTCTGGCTCAGTGGATAGAGCAGTAGCCTGAAGACTGAAAGGCCTGGGGTTCAATTCTGGTCAAGGGCACATGCCTGGGTTGCAGGCTTAATTCCCAGTGTGGGGCATGCAAGAGGCAGCCAATCAATTATTCTCTCTCATCATTGATGTTTCTATCTCTTTCTTTCTCCCTTTCTCTGTGAAATTAATAAAAATATATATATTTAAAAAATATATATGTATAGCACTGATTTACATCCACATTTTAAGTTTCAGTAAGAAACTATGGACATAGAATGAAATGTATGGTTAGTGCAGTATTTTTGGCCCAAGACTCATCAATACCTATTAAAATGTTATATGCACCTGTACTCTAGAGCCTAACATTTCCACTTCTACGAATTATCCTGTGGATATCCTATATAATAAAGAGTAATATGCAAATTGACCGTCACTCTAACCCACACAAGATGGCCATCCCCAAGTGGACACAAGATGGCCACCACAAGATAGCTGGCAGAGAGGGCAATGTGGGCAATCAGGCCAGGAGGAGAGGGCAGTTGAGAGGGACCAGGCCTGTAAGGGAGGGCAGTTGGGGATGATCAGGCCTGCAGGGGAGGGCAACTGGGTGGTGGTGGTGGTGGTGGGAAACCTCAGTCACACTCAACTACTTTCAGGTCTCAAATGTGTTCCACTTTCTCTTCCTACCTTGGAAGAAACTTCTGTGTCTTCCATAAACTTCTCAGCTCTTCTAACCCTGCCTTTCTCCCCTTCCCCTTCTTTGGACCTCTGGAACTCACCTCTCCTGTCTCAGTTCATACTTATGCTTTCATAACATTGAGACTGTCAGTTCATCTTGCTCCCCTACAGGTTGAAAGCAGTACTGAGTCCTTGTTCATTATCTCAAACTAGTGATCCAGTGCACAAAATTTGTGTACATTAAAAGGGAATTAATTAGAGGAAATATTTTTATATTGCTATTTGCCCTTCCTCTATAATAGAAGTGTCAGCAATGAAAGAAAATTAGTAAAATGTATATGAAAATCTTCCTCCTGTCAGAGTCTGGAGCACACCACAAGACTCAGAGTCAAGTCCCTGCCCACCCGCGTGCACCTCGAAATCATGAGAGACCCAGACCCGGCTGGTCCCACCCCCATTGTGCGAGATCCAGACCTGGCCAGCCCCATCCCTGTCAAACCCCACTGGGTGGGGGGCAGGGCCTGAGGCCCCCAATCAAGCCTCAGGTTCCCTGCCCCAGCCTGATGCCACCACACAGCATCAGGTCCCTGCTCATTGCTTGTTACAGGAACCCCGCCTACACTGTGGGCATAGCTATCTTGTGACAATGGGTTGAGGGTCAATTTGTATATTACTTCTTTATTATATAGGATTATATAGTATACCCACTATTGCAAGCATGTCAAACTCAAAGGCTAACACGGGCCAAATAAACATGGTTTAAGTTTATGTGGGCCCCAACAAAACAAAAGCTTCAATATTCATAGAAACATAGGTTTATTTCGATAGAGACATGCTAAGTACAAAGGGCTGAAATAAATGAGTAATAGTTAACATAAAATAATAGAATATTTTAATAAAAATTAATATTTTTTCTTGAACATTAACTTACCAGACACTGAATAACTGCACAAATTAATAAGTGTAAGGCCAATAAACCTATTTTTCTTGTTCTCCCAAAGCAAAAAACTTCCTGTTGCGCACACCAAACAAGTCAGTCCAAGACTAATGACCTGGCAATTGGCTGCTAAAATATTCGCTACTAGAATTAGTGGAGAGAAGTGGTATGCTTGTACATAAGGCACATAAGGGAAATGAATGCAAGATGATTATAGCAATCAGTCATTAGTGAATGTTGTAGTTCGTTATTAATAATCATGTATAACAGGATATTATAAAAATTAAGCTACGGAATTTTTATTAAAACGTTTCTTACATACCGTTATATTGGCTGGGCCACAAAAATACTCATTGTGGGCCGCATGCAGCCCACAGGCCATGACTTTGACATGCCTGTACTACAGTGTCTCAGATACTGAAGGCAGTGGTATATGTTTAATGACTAAATGAAAGGAGGCACCAGCTGACAAGATAGAACAATATCCAATTCACCATAACTCACTTTTAAGCCTTTGTAAAGCAGCTTATGGATTTTCGTTTTTTATTAAATTATCTTGTTTGAAGGTAAAATAGAGCCCAGATAGGTGTTTATATTTACTTCAGGTAATCTGACTTAGCAAATAATTTCAGGAGCTACTTGTGGTTGCACATAAAGTGGTGACTGAATTGGACATTTTATTAAAACGTTTAATATTTGATCCCACTTTCTAGTACTGCCTCCTATTCTCTCTTTCAATTTCAGTCATTCTAATAATTATTCTAATCTGTCCTTTTATTCTGCATTCTAAAGCTTTATCTTTGCTTCCTTTATTATATTAATGTTAACTTAAAGTTTAATGTAACTTTATCTGAGGGCTACACATAAAGGAAGTGGCTCCTGAGATTACAGAGTAGTTCTCTCTCACATCCACAGGGCCAAAAAGTATTTTCTGTATTTGGAGACTATCTAAAGTAGGGGTGTCGAACTCAATCAGAGAAGGGGCCAAAATCTAAAATCCAGCCTAAATCGCGGGCCAAATGGTTTACTGAACAGTCATAAACTGTCATTGTGATGGAAACGCAGCGGAGTGCAGTGATGACAGCGCGGTGCGGGCCACATTGCAAGGCCTGGCGGGACGGATTTGGCCCGCGGGCCTTGTGTTTGACACATGTGCTCTAAAGGGTTGTTTGATTTCTCCATTCCAGGCATGCTGCTTGCTGGGTTTCTCATAAAAAATATTCCTGTCATCAATGATAACGTACAGATCAAGCACAAGTGGTCCTCCTCGTTGAGAAGCATAGCCCTGTCCATCATATTGGTTCGTGCTGGCCTTGGGCTTGATTCAAAGGTACTGAGGTTGTAAATGTCTCACTGTTGCCTAGGAATGTTATTCTTCCAATGTTGCAAGTATTTAGAGTCACTGAGCTTTAGGAAATGGATGTGGACACTTTGCATGGCATTCTCAAAAAGACAACAGAATTTATTTCACGCAGAACTGTCCCCAGAAGATGTCCCCATACTCTTTTTTAGAGAAAGGTGGAGTTACTGCCTGTTTGGGCAGCACCAAAAGTAAAGCCCCTCCCTTTCTCTGACAGAGATATAGGCCATAGTTCTAAGTAATAAGCATGAGAGAAACACCACATTTTAAAATATATATATATTCTATTGATTTTTTTACAGAGAGGAAGAGAGAGAGATAGAGAATTAGAAACATCGATGAGAGAATCATTGATCAGCTGCCTCCTGCACACCCCCTACTAGGGATGTGCCCACAACCAAGGTACATGCCCTTGACCGGAATCGAACCCGGGACCTATCAGTCCACAGGCCGACACTCTACCCATTGAGTCAAACTGGTTTCAGTGAGAAAAAAACACATTTTTGATGCACAAAACCCTCTAC